CTGTGTCAGTGTCTGTGTGTGCGCTGGGCCTCTGTACCGATTTTGTTTCATTGTCGCGTACCTTCGCGCCATTGATGCACCTAACTAATTTTCCAGTTTTTTTTCCAATTTGGGCATCTCTCATTCATATAATTCCATACCAGCCGTACAAGCGAATCCTTCCAGCATATTAGCGCCCTAAAGGCCTCCCACCCTCCTCCAGGGGTTCAGGTAGCAGCTGTTTTACTCTGCAGAAAACCCTCTTCGATATCCCTGTCCCACCTCCCGCTCCCCCAGTTTAGGGTGAACCAGCGAGAGGGGAGAGGGGAAGAGAAGAGAAATGGCTCAGGAGAAAACTATGTTTTTCCTGTGTGGAATACATTAATTTGCTTCTGTCACCTCCAATTCTCGCCACACAACCAGCCCAGCTCTTCTTTCTGGCGTACACTGCCTCGACAATACCAGCAACGCGAGACAGATGCTGTGGCACCGCAACGTAGACGGAAAGTATGGCACCTAAACTGCACATGCCCGGCAACTTCCTAATACACATGACTTGTCGCTTAGTTCGCCAAAACTTTCACGCGGCCGTAGTTGATATCCGGGAGCGCGGGAACACCGAATTTGAATAGGCAAGGTCGAGCGTGGGTAGGACGTCATTACCATAAAACTTCAGCTTCTTAACATCCGTGGTTCCCGAGATAATAATTTAGCCAATGTATTATTAGTCAGAACAAGTGGAAAAGTTACCAGCCACACAGTTAGAAATAGGCAACTACTAAAACTCGGCTCGGCCAGGCGCAATCGCGCAACACGCACTGTTTTTGGGTTCGGGTTCGAGTTGCGAAAATCGTAGCACCAAATCTTTTTGTCTAAATACGGTCCTAGTTGCCGCGTTTAAAGCTGCTAACTTTCTCTTAACATCAAGTTCCTGCTGTACAAAAAACAAACTCATATATTAATCTAGGAATATATTGCGGGACTGAAAAAAAAAAGGTTTTAATAATTGCCCAAATATTCGAATATGTAAGAGTCTAGCAATGCAACAACG